TGTAAGAATCAACCAACTGCAGTCGAGCATTCCCTTACATTTGACTGTAACAGGGAAATGCTCGACTGCAGTTGATTCTTGCATTCTGATCCGGATCGAACCCTCGGTGTAAACTAGGCCACTGTTGTGGAATTTTGTGTACGGCAGCCCTAATGGCGCGGTCCCATGGTGCGGAATTAGCGCAAAGCGGAATTGGCGGAACGTTCGTGATTGGTCATGGCTTCATTCTGCTGATTCTGCCGTTTTCTGTTGCGCAAATTTATTTTTTTTTTGCGGATTCCGCCGATGCATGCGTGTACGTGTACATACATACTTATAAAAACTAACCTCGTTAAGCTGATTTAAACGGAGAAAAGTGTCTTCTATATAAGCGCATGGTTAATCAACATGCTGAGACGTATCAGATTCCTGGGTGTTCTTCGAATGTCATGTCATCCTTTAACGTTCGGTAAATAATAAGAATGGAGTGATATCTCGAGTGAACATAACTCTGAAGGTAATTAATTAAATCTCCAGATAAATACAAAGGTTAATATGATTAGAATACGAATGTCGTATAAATAGTATACAGAAAAAAAAATGTAGATCAAAATCAAAATGGGTACACAAAACAAAGTCGACAATGTCCCTGTACATTATGTATGTGTGATCTGCAGGAATTCATTTTCCTATGTCTCATTGAGCGGAACTTGCGGATGCGCAATCAATGCGAGCTAATAACAAACGCTACTCTAGTAGATGTAATAAAAGTGATCTACGGAAAGACTCTTGCGATTGGTCAGAGCTAATTGCACATTCTGCAAATTTCGCTCATAGGAAAACACATTTTAACGGAACAGAATCAGCGGAATGAAGCCACGACCAATTATGAACGTTCCACTAATTCCGCATTGCGCCAATTCTGCACCATGGGACCGCGCCATAAAAGTCGTCCTTTTTTATACTGAAATGCTCGTTTTCTAGCGCCAACAAATATCGAATTTAACCTTTGTAATCTGTAGCGAGGAGACAACCCAAGCAGTCTGTCGTTATTTTGACGTCAATATTTGGTCACAATTGGTCACTGACGTCATATGTTAATTAAAGGCGTGTTCCGATATACACTGCTAGTACTGAAAATTTACAGTATACGTAAACTATAGATTTTCAGTACTGACAGTGAATATCAGAACACGGCCTAAGTGACGTATATTCGATGTTAATTTTAATACGTCATTATTGCAAACACTTATTGACGTGTTAAAATTAATGTCGAATACACGTCATAATTGACGTTACGAGGGCAAGTCAATAAGTTTTTAGAAAAACATAGTAAAACACATTTTTTTTTATCGATTCATTTTTATTTCTAAACATAGTCTCCTTTCAGCTCGATACACTCGATCTAAAGATTCTCCAACTTTTTCAAGCCGTCCGAATAATATAATTTTTTTCCAACCCTTCAAAATAAGCCTCTGTTTCGGCGATGAGTTGCTCTGGTGATGCTCTTTTCTCCGAATCATTTCTTCAGGTTAGAAAGAGGAAATAATCGCAGGGGGCTAAATTTGGCGAATATGCTAGATGGGGAAGCAATTCGTAGCGGAATTCGTTGAATTTGGTGCTGGGTATGTGTGAACGCGTGCATTGTCTTGATGGAAGAGCACTTTCTTCTTCGCCAAATAAGGACGTTTTTTCTTTAAAATGTTGTTGAAACGGTCCAATAAGGCTGCGTAGTAATCGCCATTGATTTGCTTCGATGGAAGGTAATTGATATGAATACCGCGTGTATGTGGTAAAACTATGGCTATCACCTTTCCGATCGACTTCACGGTCTTCGCCTTCTTCGGAGCTGGTTCATTGGGTGAAGTTCATTGTGTTGATTGTTCCTTCGTTTCGGATGTGAAGTAATGGATCCATATTTCGTCCACAATAATGAATCAACGCAGAAATTCATCTGGATTACGTTGAAACATCTCCAAACATTGTTTGGAAATCGTCACACAGTCGCGCTTATGGTCCATAGTGAACAAACGTGGCACCCATCTTGGGTGCGATAGCTTTTTCATACCCAATTATTCGTGCAAAATTGAAATCACTATGCCATGTGATATCCCTGTGGCTTCAACAAGCTCGCGCACTTTCATGTCAAAACAATATCGTGGACTTTATCGATGATTTCTGGCGTAGCAGCCTCAATTGGATGTCCCGAACGAGGTGCATCACATGTGGATGTACGACCACGTTTAAATTCATTCACTCAATTGTATACAGTCGCAAACGCTGATGCAGATGTGCTATGAACATTATCCAACTCGGCTTTGATTCCTTTCGATGTTAAACCTTTTATATGTAGATGTTTGATTACTGCACGAAACTCGTTTTTTTTTCATTTTGTAAAAAATATTGGGTCATCTAAAAAGTATCCGCGGTACTTTGTCACTAGATATATGACCATCAACACACATCTAATGATAAAAAACCGGATACTTTTTAGATGACCCAATACAAAGGTTGTTCGCTTTAATCGTCTACAAAAATGAAACCACGCGATGAATTCCGTTCAAAATTTGACAGTAATCAGCTGAAAGATGCTACTTGTCAAAAAGTAATGTGACATGATACTGTGAGTGCTCTCTGACAAATTTGCTAAGAACTTATTGACTTGCCCTCGTAGTAACCAATTTTGACCAAATATTAACTTCAAAATAACAAGCTGCTACCTGGGAAGTGCGTGCGCATATGTAAGGATGCGTTCCGAGTAAACGCATGAATCGCATTATGCAATATTTGTCTCTGTTATCAAATATTTGTCTCGTCTTGTCTTTTATGATTAATGGTCCTGGTCCATATTGACGAGGTAAACTTGGTCGCTTCCCAGATGCCTCCATACCTTCCACAGGAGTCAAACTGTAGAGACGGAAAGAATTTGAATCAGAAAGAGAGCCAGGCCGAGCCAAGCTGCGCTACTCCTGGCTGAGCCGCACTCGGACGCTGAGGAAGGAGGAAGGAGAAGGAGAGAGGGAGAGCAGGAAAGGGAACTCAGATCAATAGTTGCAGAGACTTGAAAAAGGAGAGGAGAAGTTCAAATTCTAACCTGAGGATCTATAAGCATAGGAAAAATGTCATTAGAGTGACGAGGAAAAGTTTTCTTAATAAATTTGCTAAGGGGGGCGAATCTGCCGCTAGATAAGGGACAATAAAAAACATGGTTGGCATCCTGTCTGCACGTCACTGCACGGTCTGCAGAGTCACTGCACGTAACTGGAGAATCTACTATATTTTTCCTATGCAACTTACATAATTTAGATTGTAATGGTTGGCACGAAGTCTGTTAATCAAGACAATTTTCTGGTGGTTGAGTGACTTTTTCTGATACTACGTCATATTAGAAGAGTTAGCGTAAAGCGAGGCGTAATGTTGTCCTGTAGTTTTTGAAGCGTCTTCGAAGTATTTATTGAAACGAGAAACTGACATTTTGTTGGTTCTCAGAATCAATAAAAGAATGATTGGTCAGAAGTAGAGAGTGACGTTGATGCTCCTACTATAAGAGACAGCGGGGAAACGCTTAATCCAGTGTATGATATAATTAGAATTAATAAGTCTATTGGAACCAATAGATTCCAGGACGCTCTTAGAATCAGAAAAAATCACTGCCTTGGAGTAACCAGTGATGAATTAAAATAAGCGATTGGAGAATCGCCCAGGCCTCTGTTGTAAACACAGTAGCCTCTGAGGCTACTGTATCAACCTGTATTGGAAACTGACTCCGAGCAGTAAGTTGCAGCCCCTGCATACTTCTGCTCTTCCATTTTGGAGCCCTATGTGTAGAAAGTAATGGCTGAGTTTCGGAAATTCATAGAGTTGTCTAAGAATTCCTGTTTAACAGTGCAGTCAGCTTTCTCCTTGTTGTCTGAAATAATTTGCTTATAATCCGGTCGAAGAGTAAAATCGGAGTAGGAAGTTTCGAATGCAGGGTGAAAGATAAATTGAAAAGTGCTATTAAAAGCATATTTATTAAAGACGTAATATTTGAAGAATGGCGATACTGAGAGAAGTCTTAATTTTTCCTCGGGCGACAAGGCCGTCCTTTCCATGAAGCTGAAGCTGCGGATGACTGGGTTATTATCCCTAGACATAGATTTCAACATGTATCTTCGAATATAATAGCAAAGCGAAGCTTAAGCGAGAGTTCCTTGGCTTCAAATAGAATGACGTTGATGGGTGTAGACTGTCTGTAACCGATTCTAATTGCTTTGTATTGGAGTCTTTCTAGCTGTAGGAGAAACGATTTCTTATTCTGAAGAACAAAAATCTGGCAGCCACATTCGATGGATCTTCTAAAAACAGCCTGCAGTCCAAAATAACACCCAAAAATCTTACGTTAAGGACTCTTTCCATTAAATGATTGATAAATATCTTGCAGGTAGAGTCTTTAACAGAACGCTTTCTATTGAAAAATAAGATCTATTTGGATTTGGTGATAACTCCAGATCTTTTTTCGAAAGGTACAAATAAATCATGTTAAGTGAAGATTGGAGGTTAGCAACAGCTCCGACTTGTCTCGAGGAAGAGTAGATCACAATGCCGCATATTGCAAAAGGTTAGTTCCAGGGTATAGTTGGAAAGTGATCTGAGCATCAAACCTTGAGGAATTCCCTTATGTATAGAGTAAGTTGAGATGACCTCCTCAACAAAGTATACACTTCTATGAGTGATAATATTTTCTATGAATTTGCGAAGTCTTGCGAGAACTCCAATTTTCTCGGTTTCAGAGAGGATCGATTTCAGGGAGCACATTGTTAAAAGCGCCATTTATGTGCAAGAAAGCTGCCACGACAACTTCATTCGTAAGAAAACTTGTATGGATGTTGTTTGTAAGAGTAACCAAGCTATACACGATCTGTTAGGTCTAAAGATCTGTTAGGCCCATTTGTTCTTGTGGTAAGATTGCCTGCGATTCCATCAGTCATTGCAATCTTAAGTAGACAATCCTCTCAAAGATTTTGAGGGTATATGATAGAAGTGAGATGGGGCGGAAGTCAGAATTATTTGCTTTCGGAATGAAGATGATGAGCTAGGTCTTCCAAGGAGGTGGTATAATTCCTTCCTCTAAAAAGCGATTGAATAAATTCAGTAAAGTTCTTTGTATTTAGTCAGCAGAAAGCATAGTATAGCTGATTTGATCTAGACCCAGAGAGGAATTTTTTCTAGATTGTGATAAAACGAGGTTAAACTCATTGATGGAAAAGAGCAAATCCAGATCTTTGAAAACTGTTCCCTGGATGGTCAATGTCTTCTGCAATCATCGATGACAAGCTTTTGCCAGTATTCGTAGAGCAGAAAGGAAGACAGATTTTATCCTTGGCCTTTTCTAGAAGGTTGTTCTGCCTGTTGTCGTTATCTGAAATTACATTGGAAGGCTCTGATAGATTACGTCTTTTGAAGGCTTTAACTAAACGCCATATGTCACTGATAGGATTCTTACAGTCAAATGATTTCACAAATTTCTTCCATTGTTTCTTCTTAATCTTATATAAAGTCCTAGTGCATGACGCTTTTGCTTTCTTGAATGAAATGAAATTCTCGATAGATGGGAATGCTGATAGATTTTTGCGACATTTCTGCGACTTAGAATGGCCCTGGAGCATTCTTTCATCAAGGAGGACTCTTCCTGTCACTGGGAGTCGGGAATGACCTGGGATGTCGCTGCTTTTCGGAAAAGGCAGCCTCTTGTAAGGCTTCGTAAATGATCTGCAAAATATTCATATGTCTCAGTATAGTCCATAGAGACCTTGCTGAAAAATTCTTTTGAGATAGTATTATAAATAGATAGTATTATAAATAACGGTGTAACTTGTTAGCTTTATCCATATCAAGGTTTAGTTTGTATTGAAAGACACGTCGTAGATCAGAGAAGCTGCCAATGGTTATGTTAATAGAGAAGTGATCACTACCAAAGGTGTCCGATTCAGTAGTGATTTCACATAGTGGCGCCAAATCGGCAGAATAATGGTGTAATAATGATGTAATAATAATGTCAATTACAGATTTATTTGTCCCCGGCAGAGAGGAGCGTGGGATTACCATCATTCATAATGCAGGCTCCATCTATCATGTTTAGAAGCACCCTGCCAGGACGATCGGTTTTGGAACATCCTTAAGAGGTGTGATGTGCGTTAAAAATCACTTGTTATGAGCGTGTGCTTGTACGTATTAAGAGTTTGTGAGAGCTTTTGTCGAACCATTCTTAAGATGTGTGTTGATTCGGATGACGGTAGATGTTAATAACGGTTAGTTGCTCATCATTGAGATTGAGTATTATACCTTGTACTTCTACCGAAGAATAATGTAGATCCAAAAGGTCCAGACTGGGTGATTTCAATGATAATTGTTGTCCACAATTTTTGTATGCACTTGCGCGAACTGACGTGAACTATCGCGGATTTTCGTAAACCGAGATAGTCTAATTTCCGTATCGACCGACTAACTGAGATAATCTGATTTCGGTACTGATGCTCTGCGCTTCCGCGGGACCTCTATTTATATCCCGAAAACAGGGCATAGTGTCCTTTGTCTAGGATGCGATAATTAGTTGCAATGTCACGCGAGATTTATGATTTTTATAGCGTCCTATCGTTGTTAATCTAAAGTGCATCGTTAAGGAAGTTTCGAAAAGAAAAGAAATGATTTACGTTTTTCTTTAAAGAGACAAGATTGCTTCAAACGGATGACGAATTCTATTATCCTCGTAGAAAATATAGCTAGGTAAACAGACGGTTACTGTGCACAACTAGTTTTGCGTGCAGGGCAACCATTGTCAATCGCGAGTCTGATCTTAGATAACGCTACCGTGGGAAGTTATTCCATGCGTTTTATGATTTTTTAAGCGCGATGTGGGGCCTGTTTTCTTAAGGCGAAATTGTTGGTAAGTCTAGGACAAAGCTTGGATTTTTACTATTATGTGATTTCGGTACATTTATAATGTCTTTTGCAATCTTGTTACTTTTCGGGCCTGCATTAAGGTTGTTATTCCTTCCGGGTTGATTGGAGCTTTCGCGGAGTTTGTCCGATCCCTCTTTTCAGTTGTGTCAGACCAATCAGACTGTTATCAGAAGATTCCGCTCGAGTCTCATAAACGCCAATAGTTACGGCATGGAGCCGATTTTTTCGAAAGAAAAGAAACGTGACATCTATAGAACGTAACAATATAAAATTCCAAGATAACTTTAATTTTCATTGATAATTAGAGACACATTTTCACAATTAGGTAAATAATAACGAAATGGCACGCAACATAAATTTCGTCGTCAAAACGTTATTTTCCCACGCTTATAAGTTCGGCCATTTATCGTGGTGCGGCATTGTAACACATAACAAGCACGAGCCCATGTCCGTGTGCTCATCTGCGGCGCGCCGAGAATGAACGAGACAGCGCGCTCGTTCTCCCACTAGTAGTTTGTTTCAAGTGACCGAAAATGCTTTTTCGGCAATCTCGACGGCCCTAGTCATCAATAAGGGGCAAGGGGCATCCTAAATAACATATAAGTTTTCATAAATTATAGTGTATCCCATTAATCCAGAATAATATAACCCACGTTAAAACGCAACAATTTACGAAATATTTAATTGTTTACAATTTTTCATTCGCGTTATATAATATATCTCTCTTTCATAAACTCGAGCAAGAATAGTTCAACAGAAGTAGAATTTTACCAGGAAAAAATTATAAACCAGCATTTCTTTTCAAAAAAGAAAGTCTCGAAAGACTATTCAAAAAAGAAATACGTATGTTCGAGACTCGAGACCTGTGAAGAAAATATGCGAAAAAAAATCGAATAGTTGCAAAAAGCATTTTTTTTTCACTTATAAAACAAAATATTAAGTGTACAAATAAGTTTCCGCCGTTTGACAAAAGACAATGCCACTAGCAAGCTATGGTTAAAACTGTCTGATGTAAAACATTATATCGTAAGGTTGGACATCTGTCAACAACATAACCTTGAAATACTAGCGATTTTGTATCAACATCATTTTTTTTGTGCGAAAATGCCGAGTTTTGAGCCGAATAAGCGTCATTTGCAGGAACTTTTGATTTACTTCTTTAATTTGAAGAAATCTGTAGCTGAGGCTCATCGATTGCTTGTAGAAGCATATGGTGAGGCTGCCTTAAGTGAGAGAAGTTGTCGTGAATGGTTTCAAAAATTTAAGAACGGTGAATTTGACGTCGAAGACAAAGAACGTAGCGGAAGGTCGAAAGTATACGAAGACGCGGAATTGGAAGCATTATTGAATGAAGATTCGTGCCAAACGCAAAAAGAACTTGCACTTACATTAGGAGCGACTCAATAAGCAATTTCACATCGTTTGAAATCATTGGGAATGATTCAAAAGCAAGGGAATTGGGTTCCATATGAACTGAAGCCGAGAAACGCCGTTGAACAAACGTTGAACGCCGATTTTCCATATGTGAAATGCTGCTTGTCAGGCATAAACGAAAGGGTTTTTTACATTATATAGTCACTAGTGATGAAAAATGGATCCACTACGATAATCCAAAGAAGAGGAAATCATGGGGATCACCTGGCCATGCTTCAACATCGACAGCCAAGCCGAATATTCATGGAAAAAAACTCATGTTGTGTATTTGGTGGGATCAGCTTGGTATCGTGTATTATGAGTTGCTCAAACCGAACGAAATCGTTACTGGGGCTTTCTATTGAACACAATTGATGAGATTGAGCCGAGCGCTCAAGGAAAAACGCGCCCACTACTACTCCAGGCATGACAAAATTATTCTCCTGCATGATAATGCTCGACCACATGTTGCGGCACCGGTCAAAACCTACATGGAAACACTCAATTGGGAAGTTCTACTCCACCCGCCGTATTCACCAGACATTGCCCCTTCCGATTACCATCTATTTCGATCGATGGCGCATGGCCTGTCTGAGCAGCACTTCACATCATGTGAAGATATCAAAAATTGGATCGATAATTGGATAGTCTCAAAAGATGAAGCGTTCTTCCAACGCGGTATCCGTATGCTACCAGAAAGATGGGAAAAAGTAGTGGTTAGCGATGGACAATACTTTCAATAAAACATTATGTATCGTTCTTTCACAATAAATGCTTAATTTTTGATAAAAAATGGCGGAAACTTATTTGTACATCTAATATATTGATTGTATGAAAAAAATCGATATAAAAAAATGTATGTATTCGAAATAACTACAACATGAGACGTGGAATATTAAAATCAATCTATTAGTTCAGTATAAAAAAAATTTTAAAAACACCGAAAAAAGCTCTCTTTTTCACTCACTCTCTATTCATTGAGATTTAAACGCAAAGCTTTGAAATTCTCGTAAAATATAGCCCTCGTATTGACGAACAAATCTAGCTCTAAACAAGCCTGAAATGTTCATTAGTTTTTGCAAAAAGCCATTTATTTACTAAAAACCTGTCTGCGGAAAACTTAATTTCTTCATCTTTGAGCAGTCGTACAGCAATTTATAAAGATTTTGCTTCTTCAAGAGTTGCACTATTACGTACATTTAATAACAAAACGATTTTTTGCAGTTAAACTATTATAAAACGACTTTAAAAAATGGGTATATTTTTCCGTGTCAAAAAACGGAAATAATTTCGTTAATATGCATCATATCAAATAGCCGTGTGAAGCATTCGAAATCTGACATTTTTCTATGAATTTAAAAAAAAAATATTACCTTCGATTATTAGGAGCCGAAATAATTTTTTTTCAAAAAATTACTGTGGCTCTAATTTTTAAGATTTAGAGTCCGATCTGGTATCAATTTGTCAAGGAAGAATTAAACTTTAGCTGTTAAAAAACTCTTGAATTTTTTGCTGTCGAAAAAGTTTATTTAAAACCATTGAAAAGTTGAAAAACACAAGCGAGATAGTGCGCCGGACGGAGTGAGGGAAGCAGGGTTGATAAAAAACGTGTTAAAAAAAAAATATTCAATTTTTTTTGTTTAAAAAGTTAAATAGTAGTTAATAGTAGTTAAATTGTAGTTATTTCAAATATACGTACATTTTTTATATTGATTTTTTTCATACAATCAATATCTTTCGTTTTATAAGTGAAAAACGCTTTTTGTAATTATTCGATTTTTTTCGCATATTTTCTTCACAAATCTCGAGTCTCGAACATATGCATTTCTTTTCAGATGGTCTTTCGGAACTTTCTTTTTTTAAAAGAAATCCCAGTTTATAATTTTTTTTCCGGTAAAATTTTACTTCTACTATTCTTGCTACTCGAGTTTATAAAGAAGAGGTATGCTATATAACGCGCATGAAAAATCGTAAACAATTAAATATCTCGTAAATTGTTGCGTTTTGACATTATTTATACTATTCTAAATTAATGAGAGGAGTACACTATTACTATAATAATATAAAATAATATATAATATATAAATATAAATTATATATAAATTAATATATAAATTATAAAAACTTATATGTTATTTAAAATGCCTCCCTGTCCCTTATTGATGTCTAGGGCCGCCGAACGGCCAAGATTGCTGAGAAAGCATTTTCGGTCGTTTGAAACAAGTGATTAGTGTGATGAGGAGCTCGCTGTTTCGTTCAGCGCGCCGCAGGCGAGCACACGGACGTGAGCTCA